GCACCTATTGTTGTCAAAATAGCGTGTATTGATGTTAGATAATGCGTTACAATGTTACATTCAATAATAAAGCATTTCGTTTACAGTTCCTACAAAAACTATGAAATTACCTGAACGGTTTGCTTCGACTTCAACACGTTGAACGCTTCAAAACGCTAATCTTTCTTCAGCCGAAACACAACAGACGCAGGAGAGCAGCATATGACGTCACATCTCCACTCCAAAATAAAAGTCCCATTCATACTAAAACTACAAAAGTGCGTTGAAACTCACATGCAAATAATAAAACAAAATATAAAACAAAACTGGATAAAAAAATACTTGAATAATTCAGGATAAAATGGTATTATTCCTGGGCCTGTGCAGACTCCTTAGCTTCGTACCTAAAAAAAAAAAAAAAACAGTAAAGAAAGAAAAAACTGAGAAAAGGCATTCATTTTAGAATACTATTAAAACAGTCACAAGAGCATTAAAAGGCATGCATGGTTATAATTAAGCCGAGCCAGTACTTCTGCCAAAGTGACAAAACTGTCAAATAAAGAGGTAGTTACTACCAAAGGTAATATGAACAAGTTAAAGGTAACACTATTCAGTTCAGTGCTAGGAGCTATTTTTGTTGTGAAATAGCCTACACGAAAATGCAACACAGTTTGATTCCAAAAGAGTGTATAACCGTAAAATGTTTATCGTCAAATTAACAGTAACTTAGTTATCCAGTAGTTGCTGTATTTCATACCACAGTAAAATTGCTGTAATACTAAGTACAGTAGTTTTAAGTGTACTGTAAAATTAAGTACAGAATTATACTGTAAATTATTTTATTTAAATGTTATTTTGTTATATATTCAATAACACACACCAACAGCTTTATTCATGATTCATCTTTTATATATCACAGCTTAACTTCAATCACACAGAATTACCAGCATAATAACCATATTTCATCAATGGACATACATATCCCTTACGAAAATTAACCATGGTTCTACTACAAATAAAACCAAAAACCCATGGTTACTGTAATTTGTAACCACAAATTAGCCATGGTTTTGCTAGACTGACCATATTCATGGACATCCTGTTTGTTTTCATTATTTTACAAATCAAAACTTTTTGTTGTTATTATGAGTTTACATGAATAAAATCGCGAGCGCCTCCCTGTCATGTATGCGCATTAATATTACGCACAAACACCTGAATATGGGCCAAAAATATAGCACATTAATATAGGTTAACGCTAAAGTTTGGAATCCATTCAAATAAATCTTCACCAGTCTACATCCAAGACAGATGCAGATATAAACTGAAGGCTATATGAATTTTACTATATGTGCACCCCTCATATGTGGTGGATAAACGTAGCGATTTCCTTCAAATTTCTATTAAAGCATGTAAGTGCAGTAAAATACAGACCTAAATGTACAACTTAAACAGGGTTTTGTTCTTTTGCTAAAAACTTTATTTTTGTCATGGTAAGGATGACTTTTGCATGGAATTGCCCATGAGGTTCTTTCTTGTGCTCAACACAAAATATGATATTTTTAAGAATGCTGGTAATCAAACAGTTTCTGAACCCCATTGACTCCATAGTATTTCCCCCCCATATTATGGAAGTCAACGGGGACCAGCAAATGTTTGGTTACCCACATTCTTCAAAAATCGTATTTTATTTTCAACAGAAGAAAGCAACTAATACATGTACACCTTCTACAGAGGCACCATCGAGAGCATTCTGACGAGCTGCATCACTGTGTGGAATTGACAATAAAGCAGACTTAATAGCTGCAAGACCACGCAATGCATTATAGAAATCAGGAAGGGTGAGAGAACGTGTTAGTTTCGTTGTTTTAGATTACAAGCCAACGGGAAGAGCTACCATCGGAATAATGCACAGACACAGCTGCTTTACTGTGCCACCCACCCATGCCCGGAAAAAGCACATTTTTAATTTGCTAAAGAGTTATATGTGATTGAAAATTTAACTTGTATGTTGTTTTTTGTAGCATTGATCTTTAGATGTAATTCTTCTCTTTATTTTTGCTTAACTATGTTTATGTATTTTATTTTTCTTGCAAGTCAATTTATTATCTTTACATATATTATATTCTGATGTTTTGTTATAGTTGTATATAGGGCTGCACGATAAATCGAAATGGAATCGAGATCGCGATTCGACAGAAGCTGCGATTGTCATGCGTATCTGTTAGTAGGCGTGTTTCCATTACCCTTCAAATTGCGCAAATTGAAATTGCGAATTGAAAATACACTTAATGGAAATGCGTCAATTTCGCAAAAACACCCATATATCGCAAAAAAGTTTTTACGCTTGCATGAGGTGGTTTATTCCAGCCGCGCCACGCATGTTTCTGAAGCGGCTCGATTTGCTGCTTCTGTAAAGATACACGTATAAGCCTCCTTTGAATAAATATAGCCAAAATCCGTCAAAATCCCACTAAAATCCGTTGCCATGACTTATCGCGAGAGGCAAAAGGACATTCGATTAATCGTGCAGCCCTAGTTGTATATATCTTTTATTTCTTAACATCTAATAAAATAAGAAAAAAACTTTAAATTGTTTAAATAAAATTTAGCCTTCTATGTTCCGACTATTTCCACGTGTCTATTTTCTTTGGTTAGCTTAAAAGTAAAATAAAATTATATTGGAGCGAAAGTCCCCTAAATGTCCGGAATGGCCGCTAACCGTCCTGTGAACGCCCTCTCGACGTCAAGGGGACCCTACACGCTGACGTCCGGAGGACGTTCGTAAGAGACCATTTAGGGGACGTCTTGGGGATTTTTTTTTGTTAGCTGGGACTGGTAACAGACAATTGATCTATCGGTAAGCCCCGGCCCCTTAGTTACTGTTGCTCCCTCGGACAAACAAACGGAGTTGCTCACTGTCTTACAATGACAAAACCTTGTCCCTATATCTTTTTGATCAATTTTGGACACAAAAGGACCACCATTCAAGTGGGACTTAAATATGCCATAGAGGTATATATCAAATATTTTAAGACAAATATTGTGGGTATTAATTTGGAAGCGAGGGTTTACAGATCACAATGCAAACAGGAGAAGTCTCATGTTACGTTCGTCACAGTCGCAGATAACAACATCCCGGATCAACACTGTTCATCTATCGCAGGGTACGATTAAATTAATTTACATTTAACCAGTTTAATATGAAGAGACCTTCGTTTATGTGTTTTTGCCCTACACTGTACAAGACGCGAGAACAGTCCGCCATTTAGGTTTGTATGGACTCACTAACTTTAACGTTAGCCAGTTTTAGCCAGAGATACCTTACTAAAGCACAAGATGACATTAACGTTCTGCTTGAGCAGATGAAAATTGTAACTTAATGAGAGTATGACAACCAGAAAACGAACGTTTGTGTCTTCATTGGGATTGGGGTTGAATGCTTAGGGACATTTTGCTCCATTTTGTTTGGGGTTAGGAAATAGAATAAAATAAATTCCATTGCCTATGTCTCATGATACCTGGAATCACTGTTACAAGTACCACAGGCACATCGTTTTTCCATTTTTGAAGCATAAACCCCATTAAAACTATGCGAGCTTCGGATCTTCCAGTGTTTCTCTATGGCGCTGAAACCTACAGATGTCCGAGTTCCGTTCCCCGTGCAACTGATACTCGACTGCCATTGGCTCATCTGCGTTTAAGGGGAGGGGCTTACCGATGGGTCAATTGCGCTTATCAACCACACAAGGGAACCGTGAGCAAATGTTACATAGTGTCGCTTCAAAGACTATAGAAATACAAAGACAGTTCACTCCTGTACTTATGAATGGGAGAAACTGCAACACGCAATATGGCGGGATAGTCCCACCTTCTAAATTAATGAGCCAATCGTTGATTGGTAAAGTCATTGCATCACTGCAGCAGCCGTTAGTAGCTCCGGTTCCCATAGAAACCAGAGGCTAGAGCAGCCAATGCATGCACAGTCTCAAGCGTGTTATAACCATAGATATATATAGCTGATTTCCCCCCGGTTTCACAGACAAGGCTTAAGCCTAGTCCTAGACTTAAATGTAAGTCTAAGATGTTTCAATTGAAAGAAACTTGCACTGTTTGATCTTAAAACATGACAGTGTCCTTGTTTTGTCTCAAGATGCACACTAGTATTTTTTTTTCTAAGGCATGTTTAAAACATTACTTTAAATGTCCTAATTGAACTATGGACTAATCCTGGCTTAGTCTAATGCCGAGTTCACACTGCACGATATTAGCCCGAATTTTCACTCGCCGACAGGTTTTGCGAAATCGCCGACAAATGCCCGACATCGGAGGTTGGAGAACTCCGGTCTGACGCACGCGGGTTCTCGCGTTACTTCCTTATCACTTCTCGCGTGTGTTATGTTGTGAAACGTAGTTTGCGGACCAGACAGAGCTGTCGGCGATTCTTCCTATTGTAAAGTCATGCAGTGTGTAACCTCCTGTCGCCGATCCATCGTGCAATGTGAACACAGCAGCAACTGAATGCTACCCCAGATAGTCACGCAGTGTGAAAACGACGGCGATCCGACGAGTTTAAAAATCGTGCAGTGTGAACTCGGCATAAGCCCTGTCTGTGAAACCAGGCCTTTAAGTTTTAAAATGATGAAAATTCATATAAAATTATTTTTTTAAGTTTACTATAAAATAATTGTATTTTTTATTTAATACTCCGTTTTTATTTTTAAATATATTAGTATTATCACACTTTATTATTTTGCTTATTTTATAAAAAAAAAGCTAAATAAATAAAGTGCAATAACATTATTATCACAATTATCGTTTTTTTTTATAGTTATATTTAATGGGTCACACTATGCTCAGTGTGAGGACCAAATCAAATCTCCAGCACACTATTATAAAACACCATGTATTTCAATAAGAATAAAATTCTCTGAAGGGTTCTGTTATTCGAATGTGTTTTATGTAAATACCCATGCACTTTTTTTGGGATTGTACTGTAGAAAACAGCAGCGCGTGAACAGGACTTTTATTTTGATTGGGATATATGACGTCATAGAGCCGCGCCGCGCTCCTGCGTTTGTTTCAGCTGAAGAAAGGTTTGTGGTTTCAATCATTTAAAGTGTTTAAATAGATACAACGCGGTCAGTGTACTTTATGGTTTTACAAGCTTTGTAAAGTTAATTGACTGTTTTTGAATGTAACATTGTAATAGTTTATCTGACAATAATGAACGTTATCGTGTGAGTAAAGCGCATCTCATTTCGCGCCCTATTTAGTGAATCAAATGATCGTAAACACGGATTCAAAAGCGGATCTTTTCAAGTGAACTGAATCAATTGCTTCACACATTATTTTGAATCGCTCGAATCACACTGCTGCTCAAAACAAGAACAACAAACAAACACAAACGTGTAATGAACTTTTACAAACAATATACATTTTCTATTTCCTTGTTCAGTTATTATTATTATTTATTGTTAAATTTTTTGTGTTTTTTATTTCTGACTGACTCCCTCACCAGTGTGCTGACTACTGAACTAGGGAGCTGATTGAGACACAACCAGAGATTTAGTTTGCCGTTTTTTCCTGTTTATTCTGATCTTAAACAGGACAAAGTGTATAAACACACAGAAAAACTCCTGCTGAATCAACTGAGATCCACGTGACACTATTATAAAGATGGCGTTTATTAAAGAGGAGAGTGAAGACATGAAGATTGAAGAAGCATTCAGAGTCAAACATGAAGATACTGAGGAACAAACAAAGATGGAGTTTATTAAAGAGGAGAGTGAAGACATGAAGATTGAAGAAGCATTCAGAGTCAAACATGAAGATACTGAGGAACAAACAAAGATGGAGTTTATTAAAGAGGAGAGTGAAGACATGAAGATTGAAGAAGCATTCAGAGTCAAACATGAAGATACTGAGGAACAAACAAAGATGGAGTTTATTAAAGAGGAGAGTGAAGACATTATTAAAGTGGAGAGTGAAGACGTGAAGATTGAAGAAGCATTCAGAGCCAAACATGAAGATACTGAGGAACAAACAGGTTGGTTTTCATTCTCAAAGCTGAACTATTTAGTTCTGTTTTTGTACACTTTGTGCCCTCCTGCAGCTTTCTCTCCTTTCTTTTTCAAAGGATTTGAGCTTAAAAATAAATGAAGCACTACTTCCCCCCCCAAGTGCTCTTATAATGTTTGTAGGATTTCTACATCTAAACTGTCAGAATTCAGAATTTTAGTGTTCTGGTTAAACTAAATAAAATGTAACCCATGCTGTCAAAATGAGTCAGAATGAGCACATTTTCAACTTTAACATTGAACCAAATCAAACAAATTTAAATTGGACGAGCCCCCAAACACTGCATCTCATGTTTTTAAATGAAGAAAGTAGCCTACTCTTTGTGGTCCTTTGTATTAAACTATACATACATGCATGGTGCTGTTTTTAATTCTAATTGTTTAAGCAACTTTATTAATTATATATGGTTTATAAACATTATTTTAAACAGTTTTTCGAAGACTGTTATTGGGTGGTTGTCCAAGAAGGGAAAAAAAGAGCACGTTTAAATATAAGGTTTATTATAAGCCTTCACTTTGAAATTACAGGCATAATTCTGGCAGGCAGCAGCATTTATTTGTGCAAACAAAATGAAGGGCATTTTCCATCCTTTTCCAATGAGCTACTGTCATCGATGACAGACTACCTAATTTGAAGTGTAAATCTATTGCGATAAGGTGGCAGCAGCAGCTGTGTGTTCGACTTGAAGCAGACCGATCTGTGTACAGGGCCGTACCTGGGGTTTGCGAGGCTCCGGTTCAGGTTGTACCAGTGGGCCCTGTTTGAAATTGTGTAAATAGCACAAATATACAAATTAAACCGTGTAAGTTTTTTCAAGTTTGTAGGTGTCCAAGGTACAGAAACTGAATAATCAAATGTAAATAGCATTGCATAGTCTTCACTGTATAAATGAAATATAGATTGTTAAAACTACAAAGTAATTCAGTAAAGAGCAGTGAGTGATTTTCTCCCATTTAATTTCTTGGATTAACATTAAGGACGCTGACAGCAGCCAGTTAATTAGGCACGGTCACTTTAAGAGATAATACATCCAGTATAATGATATACATTCCATTTCTTTCTCAATCGTTTACGTTCACTTAAGACATAACCGACCATTTTTTCGAGGATACTCGCAAAGACCGGTATTGTGACAATTTTGTATGCATTTGTCGTTTCAAGAGCAAGAAGAGACCAAACTTAATTCGGTGTTTAACGCGGCTCTCTGCATGCACACTGTACGCACAGAACAGTGCGCGGGTGCTGAATTAAGCTTTTCATGTCTTTTTGTGCTTGAATGTTTAAACTGGTGAGGTGTATTTGTTCGTTCAGGCACGGGAGGAAGCGATGAAGAGCTCGGTTTGGTGTTTGCGCGGCTCTCCGTGTGCGCACCGAACTCGGCGCGCGAACGCTCAGTTGAGTTTTTCCGCGTCTTGTGTTTGAAGGCTTTAAACTGTTTTGAATGTTTAAATTGGCAAGGCTTACAACACTTGCAATTGATAAGCTTTTGTGACGACGCGCAGGCCGTATTCTTATGCAGGCCTCGGGCAGTCGGTTGAAATCGCCGGGGCCCCCCCCCCCTCCGCGCCGGTTCACTAATTATATGCGTCTCGCCTATTTTTGAAGGTAAGAGTGTGCACTCGAATATGCTCTTGAACCGTTCTCGCGATACTTTGATGCGATTACACCGATCAGTCTGTGCAGCACTGCTTCAAGTCGAACACACCTATTGGGTTTGTGGTGTTGTTGTTGTTGTGCGCTAGGGAACGTATATCCGCCATACATCATTGCGTCGCTATACCACAGATATCGTGATATGACACTTTTTTTATCATGTAAAAATTTATACCGGTATTATCGTGGACGGTATGATATGGCACACCCCTATTTGCTAGGAAATTAACAGAGACACAATAAGGTTCTGAAAGTGCTGTGATTGTTTGTGTGATCACTTTGCTTATAGAAGGTTGTGACAAGCCCAAATCATCACTGCTGCATAGTTGCATTTTTCCAGTTGTTTCTCATATATGGAAATGTATTATGTAATATATTGCATTATATTTTGCATTATATTCCTATATATTTTTGTTTCCAAGGGTTAACTCAGTCTTGCATTGTGTGCAACATATTTCTTCTCCCTTTTCAAGTTTCATCCATTTTCTCCATTTTCTCCGCTGCTACAGAAACTCTCAAGTTCCGGATGCATACACGGACAGCGCGGACTACTTGTATTTATACTTCCGAAAGCATACGCTGATGGTCCGCTCCGCGGACGTGTTCCATACATGCGTAGTAGATCGGCTTGAACAATAAACAAACGTGAACAAAGAATTGCCCAGAGTTATTGCACATCTGGCTGTCTTTATATTGTTTTATCGACGGATTGTACAGGTTCGAGTAGCATCGGGCTTCTTCACACAGCCTGCGCATGCGCAGTAGCCTACTGATCGCGCAAAAAAATGGGAGGCACGCAGATGTCCGCTCAGAGCCTCCGCGCACACTCTCCGATGACGATTTTTACGTCACGCATACCATAGCGGACTCGCGGACGCGGAAAGTATAACACAGGCTTTAAGCCCCTTAAAAGTCCTCGTCGGTACTTCTACAATTTTGGACCTTAAGACCCCTTTTAAAGTTTAAGATGCTTACTGAATTATTTTTTTCTTTACTAGGATCCTTTAATTTTAAGAGGGAACACCCACATTTCTAAGAATTTTCTTAGTGCAAAGAGTTGCTTTTTCATGAATACGGGCCAAGGAAAGCCGTGAATTCGCACTTGCTTATCCGTGGTGTGCTTCTCCAGCAGGTTGTGAATCTGCTTCAAATGTGTCCTGACCTGTAGGGCTGCCCCCAGTAGTCGACCAAACATTTAGTCAGTGAGAAGAGGCATGGTTGACCAAATATGAATTGGTCAGTTGGTCAAAAAAAAAAACTTAACATGAAGTGGCAAAGTCAGGCAGTCTGTTCCTACATTTGTTTGTAAATTTAGAAGAAATTGTAGAATTAAAGTGTTTGACAAATCATGATTTGTTTGTGAAAATGTTTGTACGCTGATTTTACACACAAGTTTGCATGTACTTTTGCTTATCAAATGAGACCCACTGTCTATCAAAGGAAACATGTACAAGCGTAAAATGCAGAGGACCTAATACTGAGCCCTGTGCCACTCCATACTTGAGTTTGATGAGTTCTCTTTATTTACACAAGCAAAGTGGTAGCAGTCAGATATGAAACATAAACCATGCTAATTCTTGTTCACAAATGCCAACATAATTTTAAAGCTATCCAAGAGAATGTCATGGTCTACATTGTCATAGGATCTTATAGCACATGGAGGAATGTATGTAGCCATGATTGCATGCCAAAAATTGTTAATTTGTAGGTTTAAGGAGCAAAGATTCTAATGAAAATGGCAAATTTGAGATCGGTCTATAATTAACCAGTTCTCCTGAGTCAAGCTTTTTCATAAGGGGTTTGATAACTGCCAGCTTATTTGGGACATTTCCTAAAGAATGCAAAGAGTTAACAATATTGAGAACAGGATTACAGACAACACCTCTTTCAGTAGCTTTGTAAGTAATATTTATTATAAAAGGGTTGGTTTTGAAGCTATACATATCTAAATGTCTAGAAATCTAGATGTCTGTTGCTTTTTGGAGTTAACTTGTATTGGTCTCTTTTTGCTTTAGGCCTGATGCCACAGAAAGAGGAGAGCCAAGATCTGATTGGAATGGAAAACAAAGTTCAGCATGAGAAACATCATGATTTCATAACTGGAGAAAAGCCTTACACATGCCCTCAGTGTGGGAAGAGTTTCGTTAATAAAACAGGCCTTAAAACGCACATCAGAATCCACACTGGAGAGAAACCTTTCACCTGCGAACAGTGTGGAAAGAGTTTCAGTAAAAAAGGACACCTTAATCAGCACATTAGAATCCACACTGGAGAAAAGCCTTACACCTGCCAACAGTGTGGAAAGAGCTTTACTTCAAAAGGAAATCTTGAAAAACATATGAAAATTCACACTGGAGAAAAGCCTTACACATGCCTTCAGTGTGGGAAATGTTTCACTGATAAATCCAACCTTAAAAAGCACAGTAGAAGTCACACTAGAGAAAAACCTTACACCTGTGAACTGTGTGGAAATAGTTTCACTGAAAAAGGAAGTCTTAAAAAGCACATGATGAGAATTCACACTGTAAAGCAGTCTTTCACGTGCCCTCAGTGTGGAACTGGTTTCAGAAGTAAAGTATGCTTTAGTAACCACATGAAGACTCACACAAGATCACAGTTTTATATGTCATTGGCGTGGAAGGAGTTTCTCGGACAGGAAAAAATGTAAGAATCATGTAATAACTCGCATCAAAGGAAGCCTTTCATCTGCCATCAGAGAAAAGTGTTTCAGATTAACAAAATAATAATAATACCATTTTAATGAAAAAAAATTTTTTTTTACAGTCACAAGGTGTCACACTGAAGAGGAGATATTCACTTGTCTTAAAACAATAATTCACCCAAAAATGAAAACTGTCATCATTCACTAACCCTCAAGTTGTTCCAAACTTGTGAGTTTCTTTTTTTTTTTTTTATGACCCTCCAATTGGATGTACACTGGTTGATTTGGTGTAGTTGAGATAGTGAATCTGTGTGTAGTAGAAAAAGTTAGTAAGTCGTTATTTTCTGGTGTAGAGTGATTTTATTTCTTCTCGCTCTAGTTCTTGTATGTTCTCTCTTAAAAGAGACTATATGATGAGTCATTAACAAAAACAATGCATCACATCTTTCTGAACTTTTATTTCAGAAGCATACACATACACAGTGTATATTTAAAGTACCTTGAACCATGAAACTTACAAGTACCAAAACCCTGAACTTGCACATGAATATTATAGTCAAATGTACAACAAAATGAGTAGAAAAAATACTTTCTGAAATAAAATAAAGTGCTATGTTGCTTTGCATCAGTGGTGTATAAAGTGCCTGAAAGCCATACAGTACTTAAAGGTCCCCTGAAGTGCCTTGAAACACGCAGCGTTATTCTATGTGGTGACGTAATTTCAACTGAAACAGAAAGACAGGGCGGGACATATCGAGCAGCCAATAAATGAGCCAATAGCGTTTTGTTTATATCTGCACGGGTCAGAGCCGTTGAGCTCGGTAAAGCCGTATTTGACAGCCACAGTCTAATAGATTACCCTCTAGATTCAATATGAAACTCTAGTAAAACAAAATCGTGATCATAATCATGCTGAGGCTGTGTAGTTTTAAGTGTTTAATATATGCCGACTCGCACATATGAATCGCTCCGTGCGATCGCGTCTCTGGACCGGAGCCAAAGTCCGGATCAGACTGTGCACGCTGCTGCGGTTCGTGTGACACAACGTGAAACCAGACCTCATTTGCCCCAATCGAAAGCATATTTACACTATCTGAATCGTTCCCTATCGCCTACATTGTGCACTACATGCCATTCACTGTACAGGAAATACTACACTGTGAACAAGCGACCGATGTAGCTTAAGGGGACATGGATGCATTTAACCTGCAGGTACAAATGCATGATAAATAATACTTTGTTTTAAACATAAAACGTTGAGTACTGATATTTAAAATGATAAAAAATATAAAAACAATTGTCAAAATGTGAAATTAAAAGCGCCAGTAGGTGGCAGCAAGTGACTGTTAATGAGTGAATCATTGAGATTCAACAGATTCATTCAAACGGCTGATTCATTCAGAAACAAAGCACAGTGAAAGTAACAGTGTAAATGACTGAATAGTAAGTGACTGTTAATGAGGAATCATTGAGATTCAACAGATTCATTCAAACGGCTGATTCATTCAGAAACAAAGCACAGTGAAAGTAACAGTGTAAATGACTGAATCACTGAAATATGTATTCAACCGATTCGTTCAAAAAGCTGATTCATTTAATAAGTAAACACTGTCCATTGCTCAGAGATGCAAAACAGTGTTGTGATCTTTGTTTGGAACTATTTTCTTTGGCAAAATTGAGCAAAAACAGGCAATATTGTGTCTAAAATGTAAGTCACTTAATGCTAACTTAAACTTGTATAAAATGATTATTACATTTATTATCATGCTGATATCTGGAGAAAAAAACGGCACTCTTTGTGTAATATAGATTAACTATATTAAATTATATAAATATAAAAAAGCATACAGATGCATTTTTGCCATCACATTTTGAATTTGAATAGACTAACCCAGCAATCGGGATGTCCCCCGGACGTTGCAAACGTCCATTTAAGTCCACAGTACGTCCGCTTTGTAACGTTCGTGTGCGGACATTTTGAGGATGTCCACTTACATCCGCATTTGGTCCTCATTTTAACGTTCATCAGAGCCAGTTTGTGAACGTCCAGGTTTCGTCCCTCATCTGCCATTTCCATAAAAACACTTGGAAAAGTCCAGTCGCCAATGCGTGAGCTTTTATCATCAGACCGGACATCTTGCAACTCAGACAAAGTTAATTAAATTAAATATAGCTGCAAGCAGCGATATGGGGCCAAGCCCCTGAAGGGGCTGTAGCGCAGTGCAGAGCGGGAAGATCAAAAACAGCAGAAATTGAACGAACGTGAAATACAGCCGGTTCAGAATTATTGGCGAGAATGAACATAGAATGAACAGAAGTTCAAATGAAAATGAACACAGTATGGATAAAAACATTAATTTCTAGTTCAGGAGCAATAAAGATTTGTACAATGCTAATCTGGATAATAAACAAATGAAAACCGAACAACATAACACAAAATTTTATAACATTCTACCACTCAGGACTCGAACCCACAACATGAAAGGCTTCATTGCCAGTGGTTTAGCAGAGTGTGCCACTCAGTTGAGACACATTCAACAGGCTGCAGAAGATAAGTTTAGGTGTGAGAATGAGCTCAGAAAAGCATGACTTAGCATTTTAGACAGATTAGCATGCTAAGATAACTTAATACTAACCTTACGGTTAACCTAATAGTTGAACAGTCACATTAGAATGAATGGCAACCGGATAGCATGCTAAGCTAACTAGCAATCAACAAGCACATGCACGGTCTACTTTGGAGAGGTATTTCTTGGGAACGGTAGTGAATATCAAAAATCTGTTCAGTCATTTCTGTGCGGCTCGGTCCAAAGATCATATGATCAGATTTTGGACAAAATTGGACAACATTTGAAGGAGAAGTAGAACAAAAAAACAGTTTTTGTTTACTTCAATATGGCGGACAGACACACTGAAGGAAAATGACAAATGAGACATCGTCAGAATTGGCATAACCCAGGGAATGAAATTATATTAAAACAACATCATTTGGACAACATTTTCAAAAGTTTTAAGTGTTTTTGCAAGAATCGTTATATCTCTAGAACACTAGGTGGCGCTGCGTTCAAACGCAGCATCTCAGGTACCTCCGGGAAATGCCGTTGATGATCCCTACCGATTTTTGTGCGGATATGTCAAATGGTTCAAAAGATATTGCAATTTATGAGAAATTTCAAAATGGTGGACACATGATTCAGCCGATTCTGGTAAAATCATGATTTTCTTACTAATTGTTCAAAAGTTATAAGCAAAAACATGAATTTTTGGTATCTCACGACCCATAGGTGGCACTGTGCCCAACTTTAGCATGGACCCTCAGATCATGGTGTTGATGAAGTGTACCGAGTTTTGTTTCGATTGATCAAAGTTTGGCCGAGATACAGCCTCTGAACCAAATTTGGGTCAACCTTGTTAAGTTCACAACTTCATAACTTTTTTTTTTTTTTGGGAAGAATTGGATCAATTTAGAAGGAGGGGTAGCGAAAAGACAGAATACTGTACTTTTCAAAATGTCTGCTACTGTAATGGGCGGAGTCTTAATGTAAGCTATTGAATGTGATCAGCATGAAGAGAGTAATTAGGTGTACTAAATTTCATTTTTCTATAATTAGGGGTTCAGGAGTTATTACCATTTCAATGTTGAATATTTGAACTAGTGGTGGCGCTATAGAGTTGGTCCTAGAGACTCCAAAGTTGATCACTATTCATGGCCATCACTACAAGTGTGCCCATTTTCATCATTTTCCTATGTTCCGTTCATAGGGCTGCCATAGACCCCCATTGGGAAGAAGAAGAAGAAGAAAACATACAGATACAATAGGGGATACAGCCCCTTCGGGGCAACACTTACCATAGGTGATTACTTTGATGTCATCCGCTGATCGTCTGTGCAGTGCTGCTCCAAGTCGAACACACCTATACATTTCACCCTCTTCTTGGAATTAAAAAGCGCTAACTTCTCCCCACCACCTCTTATGAAAAGTAAAATAATTAAATATAAAAATCGATTCTGAGGTAAACCAATCGATTTTTAAATCATTTTAAAAAGAATCGCAATAGTTAGGTATTTTTTTCTCCCACTCCTAGAGTTTACTCATTTAGCACAGCTTCCAGATAATATATATGTATTTGTTTTGTAAGTAATTGATTTTCTCATACAGCCAGATTAGCCAAGAGCAATCATAGCTGTGTAAGTCACAAGACATATTTGTTCAAGTCTGCTTGCAGAATAGAGAATTCTTTGAGTGACTATTAATCAAGTTATTAATCAGTATTTAACTGCTTAGGGCCTGTTTACACCTGGTCACTTCATGCGTTTTGTCTGATCGGATAGCTATCTGATCGTGAAAAGACCAGGTGTAAATGCCCTCCGAAACGCATTTGAGACGGATATAAATCCGATCGCTCAAACCACTTCAGGAGGTGGTCTGGGACGCATTCCAGATGAAACTGGACCAGTGTAAATGCATCTGATTGTTGAAACCACATATAAATTTTACTCCTTCCAAAACATTAAAATAATAAATGTGTGAGAGCGTGTTATAGGCTATATGACATTATAGTCAGATATGTCTGCGCTAATGCAACACGCATCGCTGCGGACGAGTAGCTGAGTATCTCTTCAGCAAGCTGACGCGCAAACTGCCGCAAAGTAAGACGCAGACGCTCAACACACAATCATCTTCATTAAAAGTAGTAAGACAAACTT